TAAATTACCTTATTCAAATGATCACTACGGTCAAAGATTCGGTCAACGAAGGTCACAGTTTCAATGGGAGGTCACAGTGTCGGTCGACGATTGTATAGGTTTTGGAATATTAGCGAGCTTGCGAGAGTGAGTATGAGAGTCGAGACAACGTTATACACTTTAGTGTAGGTGTTTAGGGTTATTTAGTGGATTGGATCTTGTTGGGCTAAGAAATGAAACAATAAAATGGGTAATTGAGCCAAAAATTAAAAAATTAAAAATGAAACAAATTATTGGGCCAAAAATTTGGATTTAGAAATTGTTAATTTGTTAATTTGTTTAGAAAAAATTAAAATTAAAATAATTTGATTTACTCAATATAAAAAAAAAATTAGAAAGATTCGGTTCTTATTCGGTTCTTGATCTAGAACCGAGAACCGAATCGTACTCGTCGGTTCTTAATTCAGATACCCGTTCGGGTATTTAATTTGACAAGAACCGTCGGGTTCGATTCAGTTCGGTTTCAGTTCGGTTCGATCGGTTCGGTTCGGGAGATTTGCCCAGCCCTAAAAGTGAGAATATAATGAAATGATTTTTAGGGTTTGGAATTGAATTGGGTTGAGATTTTTAATATTTAATAATTATATTAGTACTTGATATGTGAGCAAATAAACTTCATAGTTGGTTTATGAACTGTAATTTTTAAATACCAGTTGACATGTAATTTCCACTAATTTGAATCATTAGGTAATGGATCAGTAGTGAAATTGGACCAATCCCAAGGTATCATCATCGTCCCAAATGGACTGGATTTGCATCACAGCCCAACATAGATTCATCTTCATGTACAATCATTTTTTATTTTATTTTTAATTAAACGAAAAGGTAACCTAATGTAATAAATTTACTTTAAGTTTTAAATATAAAAAATCTGTCAAGATTGTAATTGCCGAAAATCTTCATCAACTGTACTAACAATCTTATCTTGTAATTTGATAGTATGCATCTTACCACTCCTTCAAGAACATTAGAGCCTTAAGTAATCTTCAGTTCTTTTAAATGAACCCACCTTTCTGAAGCCCTTGTTTGATTTTCATTACATTACATTCTATTTTTCTCTCTCCTATTTTCAACCACACAATCTTCCATAAAATAATATTACACGTAAATCGAAAATTTTTCTTTCTTTTTCAACCACTCATTTTTCAAAAAACACTATTCTATACATTAAATTTTCTTCCTTAATGGGGGCCAAACAGGGGCGAAAATTGCATTTGGCGCATAAATGTGATGGCAAAATTTCATTTCACTTCGTTTACTCGTATCAGATGTTTAAAAAAATAAAAATAAATAAATAAATCGTAGCGTCACATTGGATTGAGGTGAGCTATGAGATTTTAAGATGCTAAGATATTTTAAATTTAGTATTATATGATACTTTTCAACCCCACATTTATTTTAAGATGCTAATATATTTAAAATTCAATACTACATTATACTTTATAACCCCAATGATGGAAGTTAGTAATAATTTGCATGCCTACTCTTTTCAAAATAACCAAACATTTCAAACTACTTTTGAAATCATCCTTATGTGATTATGATCAATGTGTGTCATATGATTACACGAATTGAATTATTTGGTACGATAGATGGAACGAAATTTGGCTTCTCTTGGTTGGTGAGAATTAAAATTTAAATTTTTATCAAAATTAACAATATATTTTAAGGAATTCACAACTTTTAAACCACACATTTCATCATTTATTGTTAAAAGTTACTGAAAATATGATTTTAATCCCCTCTAAACGGGAACCAAATATATATGATGAAATGATCGTTATAGTGATTTTGTCTAATCTCATCCAATCCAAAATCAATAAAGCTAACATGACTTTATTATTTTGTATTTGATCCCTTGCGTGGCCTTGGCTCTTTCAATTATTGTTCTCACTGTTTAGTAGAGGTGCGTGATTCCTGTGGATAATATTTTATTCTGCCTTTTTGAGCCTCCACATATAATAAAAAAATAATAAAAATGGAAAAGAAGAATAACTATTTTCCTTAAGATAAATAAAAGAAGACTTCTCAAAATTCCTCATTTGTGATGTATTTCCAACCCTAACCGGTTTCATGCACCCAACAAAAACTTGAATAATGATGAGAAAATATCGGATTCATGAAAAGAAAGAATATAAAAGGTAGTGCAATCAATATCTAGTCTTCTCATATCCTTTTTTTTTGGATTTTCATGCACACTTTAATCATTACAAGAAAAAAAGGTTCGATTGCACAACACAAGAAGTTCTTCGTGTAATTATGTTTAATAATGTTAATCACATTTTTCAATCCATGATAAGCATAACGATTTATTTGAAAACCTCACCTAATATGAATCTGTTGGATATTGGTTAAATAAATCGAGAATTGAAAATCGATTAAAGTTCGTATCGATTTCGGCCAAATACTCAAAAGCTCGACTCAATCCGTTTAGGCAAAATTGTTTGCCACTTCACCGCTTCGGGGCGCACAAACGGGGATCGACCTGCTCGGTCAGGTCGCGGGGGTCGAGGGGGCAGCGCCCCTCGTGGGGGATCGGGGGCAACGCCCCTGAAAGAGAATTTTGATTTCTCTGCATGTATTGAAGGGTATATTTGGCATTTCGAAAACCAATATCGAATGAATGAGAAATTACGAAAAAGGCCTCAACCATTAGTGAATAGACACCTTTTCATAAAGGTGCATTGTTTGGAAATGGTGCATGGTTTGGCCTCAACCATTTCGTCCACACCCTTTCATGGTCTATAAATAGGACCCTTTGGGTGTCCTATTCCTCACAGTTTGATATGCAAAAAACGTCTCTCATCCTCTCTTTTATCCAAAATCAAAATCATTTCATTTATTTTGATTTTCTTTCATTTCATCCTTGGAGTACATAAGCCTACATTTGGTTCGTTGTACTTGTGTTTTGGAGTGCTACAAACACAAGTGTAGCCGTTGTATCTTGGGAGTCGATTTCCGAAATCCGTAGGCACCGTTGCGGGGTAAATTCGACTTAAGGACAAAGAGTCCAACTCTTGCCTCGATTTTTTCCCTACTTTCTTCTTCTTCTTCTTGTTTGTGTTTTCTTTGCCGTTATTCTGTCCAATTTTCGGCACGGATTTACAAACCATCATTATACTTATTTTGGCGTCACTATTCACAAAATCCATCCAACAGAATCCAACTTCGACTTGGAGACTGAATATAAACAATAATTCCGACTCTAGAAACGAATCCGAAACAAGCCATATTTCTTTTAAGCAAGAGTTTAATGCATTCTATCTTTTAGTGCGGATGCTTAGTTCATGGAGTTCAATTTATAGCCATACGAAATCAATCATTTTTTTTTCATTTCATATAGGAACAATTGCACCATTGATCCTTAAATTCATTGTCTAAATTGCAAGTTACTTGGTTGCAACATTTAAAATGGAAGGAGTTGATCTTCAACCTTAACTGTTGTTGTACAAATAGTGCTAGGTTTATGTTAAAATAGGACATAAAAGTTATATGTTCATTTTGTTGAATATAAATCCGTAAATGCTTATATATAATACGAGAGCGAATCAAGAAAAAGGGAAAAGGAAACCTTAATGCACCCTAGTTCAACCCATCACTATCCTAAAATAAAATGGCGACGACCCCAACCCCTTCTCTAATCCTGATTCGATATGTCCTTCCGCTTAAACCATATTGCCAAAAGGAAATGATGATTTTGGCGACATGGCGTTAACTGGAAGTACTTGTGCATAAACATAAAACATTTAGTGACTAACTTATTCATTTTCAAAGTTAAGGGCAGCCTCACGACTTGGTCAATAAGTTGGAGATTAAGGCCATCTCCAGCGATGCACCAAATTTTACACCATTTTGCACCAAATTCTGTCAAACTAAAATTCATCTCTAACAATTACACCAAATAAACAGTGTTTATTCATTTTCTTCCCTTTTTATTCTTTATAATTTATTTATTTAATTATTTTATAAATACATAAATTATTAAATAAATAATTACGTTAAATTACGGAAAAGATTATATTCATTAATAAATATAAAAACATAGTACAATTAATAAAAACACTACAACAACCAAAATCATAAGTCATGCCATCAGAAAAATAGTACAATGCATTTCGAATTTGGATATTACGATATTACAAAGTCGCAAAATTTTTGCAATGTAATTCTTGAAATCTATATGTTCTTCTCACAAATGATCGATTAATAATTTCAAATTTTATGTATCGTTTTGTTTAAATAAAATTAGATTATCGTACGTATCTTGTTGTTTAATATATTTCGTGTTAATTTTAATAAATAATCGTGTTTGTTATATTTTAAATTTTTTCTTCTTTTAATTAATTAATTAATTATTATTTCTTACATTTAAAATTTATTTTAAATGCAAATAATAATAATTTATTGTATTAAAAAATATATAGTACAAATGACACAATTATCCTTTATCAATTATTTGGAAAAGGAGAAGAAAAAGGCAAAATAAACTTTCACCACTTTGCACCATTTTGGTTCAAAGTGAATAGTGTTACATTAGAACAACTTTACACCAAAAAATGGTGTAATTTGATGATTTGGAATTGACATTGGAGATGCCCTAAGTATCCAAATTTTCTTTTACAATTAAAATATCAAACAAAACAATGCTCCCCCGTGCGCAATCAATCTCTAAAGCTACGGCTGATGACAAGAACCTGGGCAACCGATGTTCTTTTACGTTCCCGTTTGTCTATCACTAATCAATAAAAATGAGCTTTTGAATAGCGAATTTATAAAAAACGTTTGTTTAAAAGTATAAAAATAGTTTGGGTCAATAGGTAAATTTATAAAAATGTATGATTGAAAATGAGTTTTAAAAAAAGAAAAAAAAAGAATTTTAAAATAGATCGGACTAAATAAAAGTGAATATACTCTTCATGTAATTTTTATTTCCCAACAATTTCCCACCACATATTTCGACACGTCCGATTGTTCCAATCATAATTTGAAATTTCATTCACAGGTGAGAAACAGCACACTGCGAGATATGCTGTCTGACACTAATCTCGAACTGAACATTTAAACTCACTGGTTAGCGGCCACTTTATTTCTTAATTTGTTGCATTCCAGTTAAGAATCCTAAGAAAAAATGGAGTCGTTTGAAGAAAACAGGGTGAATCAGCCGTTATTAGAGTCGAAAAAACCGCGGCCGGCGCCAGTGCCGGCCGGGGAGGAGGTAAGCTCTGAGCTTGAAGATATACTATCAGACACCAACTTGTCGTTGTGGAGCCGCCTCCGAAAAGCCACCTGGATAGAGTTAAAGACTCTCTATATCCTTGCAGCTCCTGCTGTTATAGTTTACTTGCTTAATAATATTACTTCAATGTCCACTCAAATCTTCTGTGGCCATCTTGGCAATCTTGAACTTGCTGCTTCTTCTCTTGGCAACAGTGGTATTCAGCTTCTTGCATATGGAGTCATGGTAACTCTCATTCACCACTTCTTTTATTTAAAATCGTATCTATTGAACTCCCTAGCCATTTCCGGTTTAGTACAGTATAACAATTATGCATTCAAATCTTGTTCTTTGAATTGTCTCGACTTGTCGTGTCTAGCCACTAATAGAAGTTATGAAATTGCAATTAACAGCTAGGAATGGGAAGTGCAGTAGAAACGTTGTGTGGACAGGCATATGGAGCACACAGATACGATATGCTCGGAGTATACATGCAAAGGTCAACAATCCTCCTTATGGCCACAGGGATACCACTGATGATAATTTATATATTCTGCAAGCCAATTTTGCTCTTGCTAGGTGAATCGAGAAGGGTTGCATCCGCTGCAGCACTTTTTGTCTACGGCCTAATCCCTCAGATTTTTGCATATGCTGCAAATTTCCCAATACAGAAGTTCTTGCAGGCACAAAGCATAGTGAATCCCAGTGCATATATAGCCGCAGCCACACTGGTGGTGCACATTTTCTTGACATGGCTGGTTTTGTATGTGCTGGGGTGGGGGTTGTTGGGGGCAGCATTTGTGTTGAGTTTATCATGGTGGATTATCGTGGTGGCACAATTTGTGTACATTGTCAAGACTGAACGGTGCAAAAATACATGGAATGGATTCAGCTGGATGGCATTTTCTGGTTTGTGGGATTTTTTGAAGCTGTCTACTGCTTCTGGTGTTATGCTTTGCCTCGAGACTTGGTACTTTCAGATTATGGTTCTCATCGCTGGCTTGCTTCCTAATCCTGAAGTCGCTTTGGATTCCCTGTCTATTTGGTAACACGGTGGTTTGCGTTCGAATTTCCTTTTCCTTCATTTTTGAATATATCTTTTAAGTTGTTCTGTCGAATTGTATTGAATTGTGAGTTTAATTTGATGTGCAGTGGAACAATCCTTGGATGGGTATTTATGATTTCCGTGGGGTTCAATGCTGCGGCAAGGTTAGTAAATTCTTTGTCTTTTTGACTGATTAATTGACACCTTTCTTGCTGAATAATTGGGAGTGGTTGCTTTTTGTAAAGAACATTTTGCATTTTAACATATCCTGTCGTTAATTAATTGATTTTATTTATAATGCTTTAAATTAATTATTTCGTGATTAATTGTGGTTTACTTATAATTTAGTGTAAGGGTTAGCAATGAGCTTGGGGCAGGGCATCCAAAATCAGCTGCATATGCTGTTGTGGTGGTGACATCGAGCTCCTTCATTATATCAGTGATTTTTGCCGTAGTTTCACTTGTGCTGCGCCATCAATTAAGTTATATCTTCACCGGTGGCAAAACTGTTTCCGATGCCGTTTCAGACCTTACTCCACTTCTGGCCATCTCCATTGTTCTTAATGGCATTCAACCTGTTTTGTCCGGTACGAAATATATATTTATATATTCAACGCGCTTCTTTAGTACTAATTTTCATTAGATGCCTAACACTAATATTTTCACAGACGGGCTGAGGTGAAACTTGACAAATGATGTATACTTTTAAACACTAATGCTGGCTGTACATGAATGGAGAGTTGGGTGGGTGGAGGGTGAGTGATTATTTAAATAAAAAAAAAAAAAAAAAAAAAGTCACCCACCTCATGTTTGTGTGTGGCCTGTACAGGCTTTGTCAAATAGGGACTATACAGCCAGCACAACTCACTTTTAAACAAGACGGTTTAACATTTTCTCTAAGAATTTTGCTACAAGTACAATAATTTTGACATTATGGTTATAGCCCTCTCACACAAAAGATGTGGGGCTCACGATTGTAAGAGTGTTGTACGTGTACAACACTGTACACGCAACATTTTCCTTCTTCTAATATGTTCAATCCAATGTATGTATCAAATTAAATTTTATTATTTGTTTAATTTTTTAATGAGGTGGCCTCATTTGAAAACAGAAATAAGGCCAAAAAAGACCAAATTCCTTGAATGTGAAAAGAATAATAATAAAAAGAAGCCTAAAATTAGTAATCGTGAAAGAGGATGGAAATGACATTTTTCTCCTAGGAATTCTGGGTGCAGTTAGATACATTGACAGTTGACACTACCAAGAAACAATGAGGTCAATTTCAATGGCTTTCACCTACCAATAATTTTTCCAGATGTGCTGCCCATTAGTGGACAAATTTTAGTGCACTTAACTTTCCTTTACACATCACCTTTAAAATTTCAATCATTATATCCTCATTCAAAATAGTTAAAAAGCATTACATAGCAGGCACAATAATCGTTAAAGACAAATAATTAAGCTACAGTTTAAAAACTTTCGACTTTTATATGTGTTATGTCATGTCCTTTTATCTCTAGTGCTTGTACTTTAGTCACGTGATGATCCATTATCATGTATTGTACGTCTTGTTTGATGCACCTATAAAAATACAACCATGCTAGGCTAGGGACCTGTGCGAGGCCACACACATATGTGGGATCCACGTAATTCTTTTTTAATACAGGTAGGATCCTTGCACAGTAAGGAGCTCTGTAAAACACCTATGAGCCATTGTTCTGTACACTGAGCATTATTCATAAAAATAACGTTACAATAGTGTCTATAAAAAGTAACATATCATTAGTGTAATATTGTTGAAGATTAATAATTTTTTTGGTACGTGGATTTATAATACAAGGTGTGGCTGTTGGTTGTGGATGGCAAGCATTTGTTGCTTATGTTAACGTTGGATGTTACTATGTGGTTGGCGTTCCATTGGGTGCAATTCTTGGCTTCAAATTCAACCTTGGAGCACAAGTAAGTATATTAGCCCTTGTTTGGTGCTGATTTTTCAAGCCAAAAAATAAATTTTTTGACTGTTACTTAACATGTTCAAAAAATTGATTTTCAAAATCAGCACCAAACAAGCGAAAAGTTTTTCTTTTGCATTTATGTTAAACTAAGCATTCTATATTAAAATTATAATTCATTTTTTTCTCTCTTCTTATCTAACACACATTTTTCAATAAAATAATATTACACGAATCTCAAAACTTTTTTTTTTCCTTTTTTAAACATACATTCTTAAAAAATACACTATTTCAACCATTGAAATTTCAAACAATAGGTGCAAATATGTGAATTTTGTCCTTGTGACAAAAAGTTAAGGACCGAGTTACTATTTTAAAGGTTGAAGACAAACTTGTCAATCAAACAATAAGAAAAGGGCAATATGTGAAATTTGTCCTTATTTTTCTATTTCTTTTGATTGAACATATATTATTCTTTTAATTCTGCAAGATGGACATGTGATGTGCCCACAAGGTTTGAAAAATTATATAAAGTCACCAATCTCTCTCTCTCTCTCTCTCTCTCTCTCTCTCTCTCTCTCTCTCTCTCCTTTGTTTTTAAGAATTAGTTTTTTACTCTTTTTTATTTATTTATTTATTTAGGGAATATGGTCAGGAATGTTGGGAGGCACAGCCATGCAGACTGTAATCTTATTATGGGTCACCAGTCGGACAGACTGGAATAAGGAGGTATATATTTTACCCGAGATTGTATTATATGTTGTTATTTACTAATAAGTATCTTATATTTAAAAAAAGAAAAAGAAAAAATGTAAACAATCAGATTCTTCTTGTCCTTTCTGAGTTCAACATATATAACTTGAGTTCAACATTGCCTTCTTCAAAACCAGAATGATCCAAATGAACTAAACTGACAATTATATTCCAAGTATGTACCTTTCAATATAATTAGAGTGTGTTTGATACACTAAAATTTTTCATGGTCCATTTTCCAACTTTATGGTGTTTGATAGAGTTTTATTTCCATGGAATTGCCTTCTCTTGCTTGTCTCGGGAATGGATAGCATTTTTTTTTATTTTTTTTTTGGTGTTGGTAATGGAAACAAATTCTAAGATTTATTGTAAAAAAATATTTCCTTTTAATTGACAATTTTCATGTAAAACAAAGCCAAACAAACATCCAAAGATAGATGATTTTCTTGAATATTTTTTTTGGGCAATGGAAACAAATTTCATTCACAATACCAGTAAATTTTATCTCTTTAATTGACAATTTTCATTTAAAACAAAGCAAAACGGATATCAAAAAACACTTTAATTTTAACATTTTACACGTGAAAAATCATACCAATCAAATACAATAATTTACAATTCTCAAGAAAACAATTTCTCATCATCGTTCTCTTTCCATCCAAATTCCACATTTACAATCAAACGGACCCTTAGATCGAAATAGTTTATAATTGGGAATATACTTCACCTTGATAGATAAACCACCACTCCCCCAAACCCCACCCCCCCTCTCCGCCCGGCCCGCACCCGCACCAAAAAGAAAAAGAAAAAGGTGTGAGGTATTAGGTGTGTACTCCATCTAAGTGTATTGAATATATAAAATATATTTTCTATATGTAATTTTGACATACATGAAGATCCTCTAGAAAACTCTTTTAAGGATTCTGACATAGTTGTGAACCAACAGAGTTACATCTGAAATTTTTTAGTCCAGAGATGTACTTGAATCTTGTATATTGTTTCGTAAGTATCTAAGATATTAATATTTCGATATTTGGCATAAGTAATTTTATCCCTAACAATCATCTTGATTCACAAAATCTTTCAGGTGGAGAAGGCAAAGAATCGTTTGCAAAATTGGGAAGCTTCAAAAGAGAAAAATCAGTTGAAAAATTAATTAGCATGCACTTCATTCCTCCGAAATGAATTATCTATAAAACTATCTGTCTGTTGATGCATTCTGGGCAGTCCCTAAATTATTCCTTTTGCTGGCTGCTTGCGCACGCTTCTCATTGCTTGCTATTATTTCCTTTGCATGCTCTTACCTTATTGTGCACCACAGATGGCTGTTATAAAGCTATGTAATCCTCATTGTAATGAAGATCTTTTTGGAATAAAATATTTAGAATTGAGAGATTTTTCCATTTTATCGAATTTTAGGTTTTCTTTGGAATCAACAAACTTTTTATCCACAAATCATCTAACTAATCAACGAGCATTTTGTAATGTTATTTGTTGACCTCAAAAAGTATTGCCAACAGATGCCGGTTCTACCCGCGCACACGTGGGCGAATGTCCAACACGCTAAGATACGGGGACGGTCTAAAACGGGCGGTTCAAAGGGCGTGGGAGTAGCCCAACGACGCGGGACGATGGCGTTCGGAATCCGGCGGATCACTCCGATTGTACAATAATTACCAACCGGTGTTAGTGAATGTATATGTAAACGTGTATAAACTCGATTTGTGTATAGCAAGTAAATGAGAGAATTGAATAAAGTGTAGTTCTTTGTATTGATTCTTGCATTAGCCTTTTGATGTTACAAAAGAAAAGTATTTATAGTGGTATATGTGAAATGGGAGTCCTTGGATGAGGTGGCACGTGGCCTCATCTCTTTGATTTAAACATCTTATCATGTATGAGGTTTGACTTGCTAGCTTGCAGCGCATTTATTGCTTGTGCAGAGCCCCCATACTAGTGATTAGACTTGACCTTTATGCTTATGACAAATATTCCATCAATCATTCGAATAAGATCTTTATGCAGACGATCTCTTGGGAGAAGTGAACATGGAGGACACTCCCTTGTGGTTCGGAGGCTCCATGAGCTTCGGGGCTTCGGCCATTTCACACAATACTTCCGCTTGAGGACTTCAACTATCTTCAACTAGCTCCAACATCATGGCTTCGGTTCATGGGCCTCGGCATATAGACCTCGGTTACGTCCGCAAGCCTCGGTAAAAAGGCGCATTGGCTAGTGGACTTTGGCTTGAAGGGCTTCAGCATTGCCCACCTCGGCAATATATGCCACCTCGGTTGGAGTGCCACGTGGTTTGGCCTGAGTGGGCCATTGGCCAAGTATGACAACACGCAACAATAGTCCTCCAAGTGCAAGTATGGTCATTCACGTAATGCGTGAACTTTAATGAAGTAAAAATTGAAAGAATTTTTGAACCCCAAATAATAGTCCCCGAAGTTCAAGTGTAGATATTTATATCAGAGTTGGAATTAGAAATGTGTTGCCGTGGGTGAACAATGAAGAGACCGAGGCTGTGTTGATGTTGAATCCGAGGTGGTTGGGAAACCGAACCTGCGAGGCCTGATGGCTGAATGTTGAAGTTGAAGTCGAGGTAGTTGGGAAATCGAACCTGCGAGGCCTGATGGCTGAATGTTGAAGTTGAAGTCGAGGTGGTTGGGAAATCGAACCTGCGAGGCTTGTTGGCTGAATGTTGAAGTTGAAGCCGAGGTGGTTGGTAATGATTGTGCCTCGATAGCTGTGCCAATTATTTGATGTTTTGTGCTTGTTTTGGAGGAAAAGTGGCTGAATCGTTACGACTTCCAAGGCGTCTGCTGCCGTCAAATTAAAAACACAATTATGATGGCAGCTGGAGCTTCTAGAAGCAGACGCGTAGGATGGGGCGCGTGGGAGGCACGCTTGAATCTGAGGCGTAGGTTTGAAAAACTGTTTGAATTCAATGCCTCAGATTTGATTTACAATGAAGGGCTCAGATTGACTGAGATTCGATCTGACGGCTGGGGTTCGTCCTGGACCTCTATAAAAGGTGAGAAAATTCTATTTTTCAGGATTTTTGAACACTTGCAATCTGATTCTCTCTTAAAATCTTGAACTTTCCGACGTCGAGGCTACCTGTTCTTTGATTTTCCGGCCTATCTCCGATCGCGTAGTTCTTCCCTTAGGTATTATTCGCAGAAAAGCCCTTTTTGTTGTGTTAATATTGTGAAATAGAGTCTACCTCGGGTAGGGAGCTGGTGACTGTAGCACTGTTTAATTATGGGGTCAGTCAGAGGGGGGATGTCGAAGCTGATAGGTACGCCATGACTGAGGAACCAGTAGATTATACCGAAGAGTGGGGGGCGTCTAGGGTGCCTTCAAGTATGACGTGGAAGAGATTGGGGGAGATTAGGGAAAGATACAGTGTCCCCCATACTATAGAAATGTTAGTTCCCGAGCTGAACAAGCGGGCCTGCTATCCGAGGCTCGGTTGTGTGGCAGTCAGTGAATACCTATTTAAGGCAGGTATGCGTCTTCCTCTGCACCCCTTCTTTAGGGTGGTGCTGAGGAATTTCATGTTGTCGCCGACCCAGGTTCTGCCAAATGGGTGGAGCCAGCTGATCGGCTCGTACTTTCTGTGGAAGGAGGTGTTACTTGGGGAGGACATGCCTCTCCATGTATTCATGACCCTTTTCCAGTCCCGGGTCATAGGGAAGGAGTCCAGGAGGTGGTATTACCTTGCACCTTGGGGGGCTCATGCACCCTTTGTGGTGGGACTGCCTTCCTCCATCAAGGGGTGGAAGGAGTCCTGGTTCTGGGTGCGAGGAAAGTGGCAGGCAGTAGAGGGGGACAATGCCCTTTCTTGCACAGTGCTGACCCAGTACTACGAAGCTCGTGAGTCTCCCAGCCCCTGCTTGTATTTCTGAATTGAATACTTGAACTTTTCTAACTGTTGGGGCTTCCATTGCAGATAGTAGTACGAGGTTCAAGCTCAGCAGGGAAGAGTTCGAGGTGATAGATGACATCTACAAGAGGCCTCTGAAGCTCCGCCACTTTGACCACCTGATCAACAGGAGTCGCTCCTTCCTGGATTTTGGACTGATGGCTTCCAAAGGTACGAAGATCCCACAGTTTTAAATTTTCTTGTTCTTTTATTTTGATACTGACGTGCTGACCTGACGTGCTATGCAGATAAATTCAAGAGGAGGGAGTACCCAGCTCCAGACATGGCTTCTATTCTGAAGGCCACATCTACTGTCAAGGCGAGGCCCCTAAAGTCTCCATCCAGTGGGGCCAAGGAGGTCCGAGGTAGGGTGGAACGCCTATCCAAGGATAGCACCCCAAGGGCTTCGGAAGAGGGAACTCCCCAGAGGCAGGAGAAGCCTAAGGAGCCTCGGGGTAAGGAAAAAGTTCCTAAGGAGGCTAAGAGGAGGAAGCTGGTGCACATCACCAGCTCGTCGAGGAAATTTGGGACCTCAGTGTCCCACGAGGCTAAATCAATAGGCGAGCCGAAGCTGCTCGCATTCGCCTCCAAAGCCATCAAAATAGAGATGGTCAGAGAGGCTGAGGTTGAGGAGGCCAGAGAGAAGGCTGCGAGGAGAGCTGCTGAGGCTGCTAAGGAGAAGGCAGCAAAACAGAAGCCTCTTCGAGAGAAAGGCAAGTCTCCAAGCTTCCTAACTGGTAGGGAGGAGACCTTGGCCCCAGCTTTGGTGGAGGCTCTGCCCTAGGAGGTCCGGAGCGCTACCGAGAGCTTTTACCGATTTTGGACTGATAGGTGGCAGCTGCATGCCTCATCCTGCGATGCGACTGACCTGACGAGGGCCTTGGTGAGCCAAAGCGTCAGAACCTTTGGCCTCGCACTTGAATGTAGGGAGGCCCTGAGTGATTTTCAGACAAGGACCCAGTCTTCGGAGGAGAAGACGACCTCCCTTGCAGAGGAATTGAAGGCAGCTAGGGCCGAGGCAGAAGAAGCTAGGGCTCAAAAACTTGAAGAATTGGCCAAGCTGAAGTCTGCTTTGGCCCAGATTGAGGCCTTGAAGAAGGAAGTCCATGAGTCACAGTGCGAGGTGGCCTCCCTGACAAAGAAGGTGGAGGTCTCCAATGAGCACCTGAAAGTGACCGCCGAGGCCCTGGAGAAGGCAAATCTCTCCTTGGTGGGTGCCCAAGAGGCTAACCAGTTCTTGAAAACCCAACTCAATTGGCATGTGGATGATGCCTCCCACGCAAGGGAGGAGGCTCAACAGGCGAGGGAAGAGGCGGTGTAGGAGTACGTCGCCAACTTCCATAATACAGAGGAGTATAAGAGCTTTAGTGCTTACTGGAGAAACTTTGCCTATGCTGAGGTGATGGAGCGGGCTGAGGAACTATATCCCAATTTGGATCTGACTCAACTCAGGTCTGAATTCGTGGATGAAGTACCTTAGACCCCCGCTGAGGAGGTGCAGGGTAATGAAGGAGCTGAGGTAGAGGAGACCAATGCCGATGCTCAAGCTACCGAGGCCCCAAGTACTGAAGCACCCCCCCATCTACCCAGGCTTAGATTAGTTTTCTTTTCAATCTTTCGAATGTAATGGCCTGAGGCCCACTTTTATAATCCTTATTGAAGATCAATGTAATGCCTTTTTCATTCATTGTCATTTCTTTATCCAAGTGTACGCGCCTCGTTAAGCAAATGAACTTAAAATTTGACAGAAGCACTAACAAAATAACTTTAACTTGGTACCTTAACTTCAATCACTTTAAACAACTGGATTGAACGACTGTATGAGCCTCGGACTTAAGCAAACGAACTTTACTTAAGCGTAATGACTGTATGAGCCTCGGACTTAGGCAAATGAACTTTACTTAAGCATAATAACTGTATGAGCCTCGGATTGTATGAGCTTCGGACTTAAGCAAACGAACTTTACTTAAGCGTAATAACTGTATGAGCCTCGGATTTAGGCAAATGAACTTTACATAAGCATAATAACTGTATGAGCCTCGGACATAGGCAAATGAACAACTGCACGAGCCTTCGACTGTATGAGCTTCAGAATGCAAGTGAGGTGGCTTCTCCCCTTGGCGTTCAGCCTGGCCAAAGGGAGGCATGTTCTAGCGCCTCGGAGTTCAAGCGAGGTGGCCCATAGGTGGGACGCGATCCTCTCCTCCGAGGTTTTGAGGTAGTACAACACGTCAATTTAATCACTGAATTTTATTGAACAATACAAATGTTACAAAGGCAAGGAAAAGTCATCCAGCAAGATAGTACATTTATTGGTAATAGATTTTGAGGTGTTCAATGTTCCATGGACGGGGTTGTGCCTTGCCATTCATGTCTTCAATCCAGTAAGTCCCAGGTCGAACCTCTTCTCTGATTTTGTATGGTCCTTCCCAGTTTGGGCCAAGGGAACCGGAACCAGGTCCTTTCGAG